TTTACATAAAATTCTCTCTTATACATGAGTCGCTGTAGATTTGTTTCTCCAAAGTACCTAGACTAATACAAACACATTGATAGCACACATTGACAACAGGATGTTAAATCTAGCCTGACTTCACTAAAGTAGACATTGGGTGCTTCATATTTGTTCTCCTTCTATATACTTTTCCCTATATGTCTCTGCATTTAGATGATTGGGATATCTATCTTTGTGTATAAAAGAAAAGGCATCTGTTAGTGTAATAGCTTCCAGTGAGTTGAGTCCTAGCAAATCATTGACATTGATGATGGTTTTGGGGACTATATTTTCATTCATTCTCATAAGGCTAACAGGGTAGATTTTGAAATATTTTCTCCAATTCTGAAGGTTTTATTTTTATTTTTAATAGCATATTTTATGCAAAAAACTTTAGTATTTATGAAGCAAAATATAGCTATTTTGTCATTTGTTGCCCATGCTTTCGATATTATAGCTAGGACTCTATTGCCAGATAAAAAGTCATGAATATTTGCCCCTATCTTTTCTTTTAAGAGTTTTATGGATTTAGCTTACACATTAATGTCCTTGGTGCATTCCAAATTATTTTTTTGTGTATAATGTGAAGTATATATTAAACTTCACTCTTTTGTAAGTGGCTGTCCAGTTGTCCTTCAACCATTTGTTAAAACACCACCTTTCCCCTTTGAATCAAATGTAGACGTGCTTGTTGAAAATCAATTGGTAATAGATGTATGTATTTGAATAATAATGTTTGAAATACATATATATTAAAAGCATAAAGAATATTCATACATCACATCAAAATTTGGAGGAAGGAAATAGGCTTTGTATTGGGGGTCATGTCTCCTACACAAGACACTAATGAGGATAGTGGAAGAGCACACTGGTTTATCCTGACCAGTGAGTAGAACATGGTTACAGGAAACCCAGGAGCAGGGAATGCTTAGAAAATCAGTAAGGGCCCTTGAGACCAGAAAATTTCCCAGGTGACATGTGTGCCGATCACTCCGACTCCAGATTTGTTTTAAATTGCTACCCAGGATGATTATAACTGCCTTGCATGCTCAATGCGGCTTTTGTTCAGCAGATCTGTGAGTATAGTTTGCAGGGTTGTCTTCCCTACACTTCTAACATTTCTTTTGTTTTCTCATTTTTAGCAACTCTACTTCACCTTGACATTGAATAACTGTTTGAGGAAGGATCATTTACTATCTTGGGAGGTATATGGTGGAATGAATATTGACTCAATGTTGGCAAATGAACAGAGAATTTTTCCCTCTTCTTTTTTATTTCCTAAATATAAGCTCCAAACTTCATCCCTGATGATCTAGTCTAATGTTTAAGATTAAGAAGAGCTCCCATATATTGAATAGGTTGCTATGGAGACTCAAGGGAGCACATTTGTAAACACATTCAGATAAGAAAGAAATCAGAAAATAGAACTAATATTCTATCTTTATTTATTTGGGGAGATGGTGCAAAACCAGAGTGAAAAAAAAAATCTTTTGTGTACTTGTGACTGTAGAAGAAAAGACTATGGTAATTAAATACTTTAATTAAGAGAATTATTTTCCCTAGATGATTGATCCACACACACCTATGGAACAATGGTAGATAGAAATGTACTATTCTTATGCTGTTTCCTACATTCACTTATATGCATTTTTACTATACTTACATGTGTTAGCTACTCTGTCCTTCACTCTAAATGAATCCATCAAATTCTGATTCCGTGAAAATTTCTACTCATCCTCCAACAGAAATGGAAATGACATAAAAATCCTATAAATTGTGGTTTCTTGTCCACTGCTAAGCAGTTGTAAATGCACACGTTTAGAATTTGAGCCATTAGAAATACATTGATAACTCTATAATAGATTAATTGTACGAATTTAGTTTCAGCTCTAACATACTGTGTTAGTCCAGGTAGACTAGAGAAACAAATTCATAAACACACATGTCTATAAGAAAGACGTTTATATACAAGAGCAATTGAATATTGAGGAACCATCCCAGCCCAGTCCAGATCAAGTCCAAAAGTCTGATATTAGCCCATATGTCC